ATGTGATGTTTTGATATATATGAACTTCATGAAATGATCAACAGTTAAGCTAATACACGTATCCATCAATTCCCATGGTTATATTTTGAGAACACTGGATACCTACTGTTGTAGCAAATATCAAATATACAGCACAGTATTATTTTTTAGGTACATGTGGACTGCACATATGATGGTGGTTCCTGAGATAATAATGATCTACTTTATATAGCTAGAATTTATTCATCCTGTGTAACAGACACTTGTATCATTTCCCCTGCCCTCACCCCTGATAACTACCATTCTATTCTGTTTCCATGAATTTGACTTTTTTAGATTCCACATACAAGTGGAATCATGCATGAGATTTGCCCTTGTGCTCCTAGTTTATTTCACTTAACATAATATCCTCTGGTTTAACCATGTTGTTGCAAATAGCAGGATCTCTCTCTCTTTTTTTTTTTTAAAGGCTGAATACTACTCTGTGGTATGCGTACATATACTATACTACATTTTCTTTTCTTTCTTTTTTTTTTTTTTTTGAGACGGAGTTTCGTTCTTGTTACCCAGGCTGGAGTGCAATGGCATGATCTCGGCTCACCGCAACCTCCGCCTCCTGGGTTCAGGCAATTCTCCTGCCTCAGCCTCCCGAGTAGCTGGGATTACAGGCACGCGCCACCATGCCCAGCTAATTTTTTGTATTTTCAGTAGAGACAGGGTTTCACTATGGTGACCAGGATGGTCTCGATCTCTTGACCTCATGATCCACCCGCCTCGGCCTCCCAAAGTGATGAGATTACAGGCTTGAGCCACTGCGCCCAGCCTACATTTTCTTTATGAGGAATCTTTTTTTTTTGAGACAGGGTCTGGCTCTGTTGCCCAACTTGGAGTACAGTGGCTTGATCATGGGTCACTATAACCTCTGCCTCCAGGGCTCAAGCTATTCTTCTACCTCAGCCTTCTGAGTAGCTGAAACCACAGGCAAGTGCCAAGAGGCCCAGCTAATTTTTGCATTTTTTGTAGAGGCAGAGTTTTGCCATGTTGATCAGGCTGGGCAACGTAAGCTCAAGTGATCCGCTCACCTTCATGTCCCAAAGTATCAGGATTACAGGTGTGAGTCACCATGCCCGGTGGGAACCACATTTTTTTTACTCTCCTGTCTTAGCCCTTCTTAGACACAAACTACCAATTCCAACAAAAGAATTTTATTTCTGTAAGGAACTATTAGGGATGTGAACTGGATCAGACAGAAGCTGTGTTAATGACACTATTAGCTTAATTCTGTCCTGTTTAGGAAGGCATATGAGGCTTGAGAGCCTTGCTATGAACAGTGGATGCTTAATAAATAAATAAATACCAAATGTATGATTGATGTTGCAGTCAACTGCTGTGGGTAGATGAGAAAGTTGACCTTTTATAAGGTCCTTCCTGAAATGTAAAAACGCCTAGGAATATGCATTCTAATGAAACTTCATGAAGCCACTGATACATTCACAGGGTCCTGTTCTTCTTCTTTTCCATGAACCCCAAATGATGGAAATAATCCCAACCAAAAAAGTGTCAAATTGTCTAAAAAGTTGTTCAAAACCCAGTCACCAATCATTCTGTGCAATGTATGAGAATGAAACAAATGAGAACCCACATTTAAACAAGATTTCAGCCAGGCACGGTGGCTCACGCCTATAATCCCAGCACTTTGGGAGGCCGAGGCGGGTGGATCATGAGGTCAAGAGATCAAGACCATCCTGGTCAACAAGGTGAAACCCCGTCTCTACTAAAAATACAAAAATTAGCTGGGCGTGGTGGCGCGTGCCTGTAGTCCCAGCTACTCGGGAGGCTGAGGCAGGAGAATTGCTTGAACCCAGGAGGTGGAGGTTGTGGTGAGCCGAGATCTTGCCATTGCACTCCAGTCTGGGTAACAATAGAGAAACTCCGTCTCAAAAAAAAAAAAAAAAAAAAAAAAAACCAAACAAAAAAACAAAACAAGATTTCATTGCCCTGAGGAAAAGAAATGACTTCCCAAACTTTTTTTTTCTTTTTTCTGAGTTGGAGTCTCACACTGTCACCTGGACTGCTGCAACCTCTGCCTACTGGGGTCAAGCAATTCTCCCGCCTCAGCCTCCCGAGTAGCTGGGATTTCAGGCACCTGCCACCACGCCTAGCTAATTTTTTGTATTTTTAGAAAAGATGGGGTTTCACTATGTTGGCCAGGCTGGTCTCAAATTTCTGACCTTGTGATTTGCCCACCTCCCAAAGTGCTAGGATTACAGGTATGAGCCACTGCACCCGGCACCCCAAACTTCTTATGAAGCACAACATAGAACATATGGAAGAATCTTACTCCAGAAGTCTCAATATTACAGAAATAGTTCCTGAGTCACTGGATAGTGATTTAAGTGAAGAGTAATATGAAGGGTGTTTTTTTAAATTATATTTTTGAAGGGGTAATATATTTACGTGGCTTAAATTCCAAAAGGTACAAGAGACCAAATAGCAAGAAATTGCCTTTCCTTGTCCCTGAGCTGCTGTAGTACATTTCCTCACAGGCACCCATTGTTTTTGGTTTCTTGCAAACCATTCTAGAGGCTTTTTTTTTTTAGAGCATATGTAAATATCATAGGAAATTTAAATGAAACTTGCAGCTGAGCTCAAAGATAATAAAAACTATACTCCAAGATGAGATGCCAGACCCCACCATTCAGGGCTTGCCAAAAAAGTGGGAGAAAAGAGGTTAGATTATTCTTAAACCCACACCCATACTGAGAGCATGAAAGAGTTGGAAGTTGATAAGAAGAGGATTTAAAAAAATAAACTTTTAATTTCTGAATAATATTAGAGTTACAAAAAAATGGTCATGACGTAGAGAGTTCCTGTGTATCCTTCACTCACCTTCCCCTAATGTGAACATCTTACATAACCACAGTATGTTTGTGAAAACTGAGATTTAACATTGGCACTAAACTACAGCCTTTATTTTGATTTCACCGTAACATCCTTTTTCTATTCCAGGATCGAATTCAGGATAGCACATGGCATTTAATCGGCATGTCTTCTCTTTGGTCGGGACACTTCGTATTTTTTCGCTGTATTGCCCGAACTGGCCTGAACTCTCCTGAGCTCAATCCATCCTCCTACCTCTGCCTCCCAAAGTGTTGGAATTACAGGTGTGAGCCACTGTGCCTGGCCTGTGACAAGTTTCTTAGTTTTTCCTTGTTTCTCGTGAGGTTGACATTTCTGAATGTATTTTGTAAAATGTCCCTTAATTTGTAGAATTTCTCATGTTTTCTCCTGATTAGACTATGGTTAACAGGTTTTTGGGAGACTGCCACAGAGGTGAGGTGCCTTTCTCATAGAAGCATACCAGGGAACATGGCAACACTGGTGAAGTTAACCTTGATCACCTGGCTAAGGTGGTACCTGCCGAGTTTCTCCAGGTAAAATTGTTATTTTTCTCTTTTCTCTCTCTATTCTTTGGAAATGAGTCACTAAGCCTAGCCCACTCTCAAAGAGAGGGGAATTCCACCTCCCAGAGGAAGAAGTATCTACATATATTATTTGGGATTCTTCTGTTAAGATTTATCCCTTTCACTGGGTACAGTGGCTCATGCCTATAATTCCAGCACTTTGGGAGGCCAAGGCAGGTAGATCACTTGAGCTCAGGAGTTCGAGATCAGCCTGACCAACATGGTGAAACCCTGTCTCTGCCAGAAATACAAAACTTAGCCATGTGTGGTGGCAGGCACCTGTAATCCCAGTTACTCGAGAGGCTGAGGCAGGAGAATTGCTTGAACCTGGGAGGCAGAGGTTGCAGTGAGCTGATATTGTGCCACTGCACTCCAGCCTGGATGACAGAGAGACTCTGTTTCAAAAAAAAAAATTATCGCTTTCCCCCATTTGTTTATTTATTCAATTATTTATTTATGTCAGTATGGCCCCATGGATGTTTATTCTTTTCTTTAGGTTATAATCTGTAATTGTGTTACTCAGTCTATTCCAGTTTTGGCCACTATGAGGCATCTGTGTCCTTTTAACATGACTCATTCTTTTTTCTTTCTTGAGTGCTTCCTTACTTTCCGATGCTACAGGATGATGATACCAGGCATAGCTGTTATTCTCCTTATTCGAGTCCTCCAACCTGCCATTTCTCCAAAGAACCCTTGAAGACCAATAATTAGACACCATGATCTGGGTACTGGGTATGGTTAGGTATTACTGATTCTAGGCCTTATAATCAATCCTAGTATGTAGTTTCAGAATTGCTAACCATTCTACTGTATTGCTTAGGGAATGTTTAAAAAAATGAAACAAACAAAAAAAAAAAAAGAAAAAAACCAATTGTTAACCAGTACCTATGCGGTAAACAAATGGACTATCTGGAGTACAGCGTCTATGTGCAGTTCCTTTTCTCTTTAGCTTACAGTATCTAGTCACGAAGCTGTTTTCCAAAGTTACTCACATCAGCTCCTTATTTGTAATTTAATTTGTCACCCGCTACACTTTATCCTATGATCTCCTAACATCTTGATTTTAATTTTAATTTGCATATAGTAAAATCCACTCTGCACAGGTGATGACAAGCGCAGAGAGTCTTTGGAAGAGCAACTTTGAAGAGCTGAATTTTTTTTTTAACTAGACTTGTCATGTGACTCCATCTTCATTCCCAAAGAGAAGAGGGTGAGGGGTACCATTCTCAAGTCAGATGAGAAGGGTTTCATGGAAAACATAGCTTAGGGAATCACCTGGCTTAAGGTCTGAGCCACCCCAAGAAATCTGGAGAGTGAGCGGCTTTAACAGCAGAGCAGAGAGCTACAGTTGGGGAGTTAAGAGACTCCAGGGCATTTGTCAGGGCAAAGGGTGAGGGCTACCCGAGGTCCAGCTGTGGGTCACATGTGCACAGGCTGCCAATGACTGTGTCTAAGATAGCCATGTAAAAGGCTGTGGGGACCTTGGCAGAAGGAGCTGGAGGTGGCTGCTCTTTGAGTTGGCTAATAAATGCCTCAGGACTGAGGAAGACTTCTCACATGACCAGCCAGAGCACAGATGCATTAGACTATGTGGAAGGTGCTGCAGCTGAAAGAGCCCCGAAGAACCCAAAACATGCCCGTGAGAGAAAGAGCTGGCCGGGACGTCTCCCAAGCCCAGAGAACGCTGGTGCTAGTATCAGACAAGTGAATGTATTCCTGTTACCTTTTCCTTCTCTTCACTTTTGCTGCACAAGCCCCTTAGACAAACCCTGTTTTAGCAAGCTGGGAGAGGAAAAATAAACAGAAGAGGAGAGGAGCAGCTGACTTCAGCCTCCTTCCAGGACTGTGGCCTTTCCCACTTGCTCCTCAGCAAAGAGTACAAGGGGCAGAATTTTAAACCTTTAATCAAGTGAGAAGTTTATCATATTGGGCTGAATATTTTTTACTTTTTTAAAAAATTTTTGAGACAGGGTCTTGCTGTGTCACCAAAACTGGAGTGCAGTGGATGACCACAGCTCACTACAACCCCAAACTCCTGGGCTCAAGAGATCTTCCCACCTCAGCTTCAGCTAGGACTATAGTCTAATTTTTAAATTTTTTATAGAGACATGATCTCATTATGTTGTCCAGCTGGTCTTGAACTCCTGGCCTCAGGTGATCCTCCAGCCCTGGCCTCCCAAAATGTTGAGATTGCAGGTATAAGCCACTGTGCCTGGTCTGGGCTGAACATTTTAATTATTGACTTGAAAGTGTCTCTTACAACTTAAGGTGACTCTACGTATTACCTAAAAGTTACTAGAGAAACCCTGGGAACTGCCTGTGTTTTTATTCAGAGGCAAAGAAAACTAGTCCCACTGAATAAATTTAAAGAGACAGAGAAAGACAAAAATTGTTTTCTGACTGTGTCCTGTAAGTAATGCTTGATGTAATGGTTATACAAGCAAATATATACCTATATGTATATATTTGTGTGTTTGTATATATTTATATATACTTACAATATTTATATTTTCCACTTTTTATGCAAAAGACAGTACACTGCACACTGCTCTATTATTTGCTTTTTTTTTTTCTTAATATGCTTCAGAATGTAAGGAATTCCACTTTTTTACTGAGGGAAAATTTATATACAATGACATGCACTGATCTTAAACATAAAATTAGAGACTTTGTTAAATATATACGTCCATCAACTACCACTCCTTTCACAATATAGAATATTTCATTAGCTGGGGTAGGGATGCATCTTTTTTTTTTTTTTAAGACAGAGTTTCGCTCTTGTTGCCCATGCTGGAGAGCAATGGCGCAGTCTTGGCTCACTACAACCTCCACCTCCTAGGTTCAAGCGATTCTCCTGCCTCAGCCTCCCAAGTAGCTGAGATTACAGGCACCCGTCACCACGCCCAGCTAATTTTTGTATTTTTAATAAGATGGGGTTTTATTGGCCGGGCTGTTCTCAAACTCCTAACCTTAGGTGATCTGCCCACCTCAGCCTCCCAAAGTGCTGGAATTATAGGCGTGAGGCACTGGGCCTGGCCTGTAGGGATGCATTTTTAGACCATGGCCTGAGGTTTCTTCACCACTTCTGCTTTTCTTCTTCCCATTAGCAAAGCCACTCAAACTTACAGGAAATCATTGGGAGAGCTGCCTGTATATTTACATCATCCTGTATATGGAATTTGGCTGAGCAAACCACACAGTGACATGTACTGGCATCTATGTGGGAGGGAAGAACTAGAATTTACTAGAGGAAAGATATCTACGCCTTTTAGATTCTGAATACATGGGGGACTCAAAATACATTACCATGTTGAACACCAAAGTGCAAAAAGATCTATTTGCTTGTTACCTTCTGCAGTGCTTTTTTACTACTCTTAAAAGCTCATACCTATATCTACAAACTTCTTGATATTCAGCCATTACTCTAAAAGGATATGTTATACCTCACATGATCGACAGGGGAGGAAGAAACAATCAGTTCAGTCAAAAAGAGGTATTTAGAAAATGTTCTTTGGCCCTATAGCCACCCTTCTCAGGTTTTCCAGCTTTTCTATCCTGGCACTGCTCTTCCATGATAAATATGATCACCTTACACAAACACTTGCTTGTGCAGGAAAAGGGAATGGAGCCCTTGAGGCTGTTTCTCTCTCTGTGTCCAAGAAAGGTCACTCAGTCAAGGGTTTTGTCTTTACTTGAAAAGTCAATATTGGAAACATTTGCATTTAGGGTGAAAAGGACTAGAGGACCAGCATAGACATGGTGCTATTACTACACATGGCATGGGACTTTTTCTGCCAGCTCTATGTGAGTCTAGGAAGGCCACTCAGCAGGCAAAATGACACCAAGTCTTTACTCAAACATAGACGCTGCTTGGGTTTGAATGCCAGCTTTTCCATTTGCTGGGTGTGTGACCTTAAACCTCTCTCTGCATCAGTTTTCTCAGCTGTAAGATAGGGATGAAAATAATACCTACAACGTAGACATTTTCTGAGGCCCAAATTAAGTTAATCCATGTTAAGGGCTTAGAAAAGTATCAAAAACTCAATAAATGTTTGCTATTATCATCATAAGCATCAAGATATAAGCTTCCTGTGGAATTACAGTTGCCATCCCATTTTATAGTAAGAGGAGAGTTTATCCAACTCCGGTTAATCACAACCTTAAAAATTCCACTCTCTTTCAATTCTGTCTGTAGATAGAGTTACAAATTGTGTTCTTAAAAAAAAAAAACAAAAACCTCTTTCTCCAAGTGCTAGATAATTTTCCTGCCATCTACTACTAAAACATTCTAGTTTTTTTTTAAACTGGGTTCAGTATATTTCATTGAGATGTGTTTATGATACCTTACAATTAGCAGAATTTTAAAAATAAGATATTATAGAAGAATGCAATGAGTATTCTCCTAAGCAAATAATTCTCGCCTCCTTCAATTACAACATGGAGCATTTATTTCAGAAAAGAATATCACAAAATGGCTATGTTCTGCCTCTGATGTGATTAAAACCTACTCAGGCCTTTTTGTGTTTGTGTGAGCACCTGCTAGTTCAGCATTTTTCTAGCTTAACTCGCAACCAGTTAGAAGACTATGAAATACATAATTTTTTAAAAAGGCAACAGAATAGTAACTAATAGTGTGAGTCATATGTAATAAGGGTAAATCTTGTTTTGTGAGATTTCAAGTTTTGTTTCATATATGTAAGTATGTACGAAGGTAGGTGTGTACTGGAGTTGGGATGTAATAAATTCCTTACTGTAAGTCCCAATCCAGACTTCAATAAACATCATCCTAGAGGACTGGCATAATGCTTTGTTTTAATTAAATCATCCTACCACATGCCAGATAGTACACTAATTTATAGGAGTGAGTAAAACCTTGCAAGGAGCCCACCAAGTGTACTCTTGATAAGAACCCATGCTTTCTGTTTTCACTGAGAAGAAAGGTATGGTGATCACTGGCCTTGCCCACCTGGTCTGTTTCTTATGAAGATACCTAGAGCAATAAAAACTAACCAAGTCTGATTGTCATAAAAAGGCAAAATGTATTAGTTACTTTGCAATAAATAGTTGGAGTAGAAAAAAATACACACTAATTTATAAAATCACCTTGTTAGTAATAATTCATGTTACTTCTTGCTAGCTCTAGTGTTCTTTGAAGATTATGTGTATTTTTATTGTTTGCTGAGTTTTCTCCTTATTTAGCCTAATCCACTGTCCAGAGGCGTACTGCAGATAGTCCCTCCATGCTTTTATCCCTGGCCTCCTCTAGATTTTAAGCTCCCTGCAGGCAGGGGCTCTTCTGATATCTCCTTCCCACAATGCCTAGAAGAGTAACAGATGCACACCAAATACCCAGTAACTTTTGTTGAGGGTTAAGGAAAAAGTATGGAAGCTTTTACCTTGGAGGAACCGGTAGCCTGGGGCACAGTGAGTCTGCATTCGGACTGTGGGTGTAGTTGAAGGAATTCAAACTATAAACACACAGGAAAGACCCTGGAAGCAGAACATACAGACATTATATCATCTTCCCAGCTGAGTCAGTAAGGAAACTAGTCATGTTACCAAACCAGAAAGGAGAAAGAATCAACTACTAGGTCTATGGGTGACAGAAACACAAAAAAGAATAGGCATATAATCTGAGGTCTAGTGAGGGCCTCCCTTACTTTCTCTTTAGAATCCCAAATTCAAAACTAAAAGTATATGATTGGTCCTAAAATACTCTGAAGCATATTTGAAAATGATGTAGAACGTTGATAGTTTAAACCTAGCTTTGCAAATAATTTTTGAAAATCTGGCAAACCATTTCTTAGGCAGATAAAATTCTGAACAGTGGACCCAGCACAAGGTACTTTAGTTATACAAATGCTTTTGGTACAACTTATGATACCCGACTGCTTAGTGGAAGGATCTATTGGCCTTGATAATCTCACGAAAGGACCTACTTGTCAGCAATTCAGCCCACAGCCTGCACATACATCTCTAGGACTAGATGTGCCCACGTGCCTGGAGCTCCCTGACTTCCTCCTGACCCTGCCATTGGGTCCCAAATGTGGGCTGTCTCCTCTCTCTCTCTATGGATGACCATTCCCCTGAAGTGGCAGGGAGCATGTGTGAAACAGTCAGATAAATCTGGATAGAACCAAAATAACCTGAACAGCGCAAGAGAAAATGCTTACGGCCTTTTCCACACAAGAGGAAGCACTCACAAGGAAGTAAATCTTCCAGCTTTCCAGAGAAAGCAGGGTCAGGATAAATGATCTCATCTGGGTCCCCACAGCTTACTCCACCAAGGGGAAAAGACTGAACCAGGTCTCAGTGCCTACCACTGGTGTTTGCAAAGAGCTGGACCTCTTCCAGGGAGTCAAGCTGCTCTTCAGGGCAGTGGGATACGCAGAGGGCTGTGCGGTCAAGCCGCACACCTTTGACTTCCAGGTTGCAGGAATTCATAAAGAACACGTGTCTAGGAGACAGATGAAACAGAAGAATGTGTTAGAGCATTGCCTCTTACTGGGCTTAATTGTGGGCCTTAAAAATATCCACATGCTATCAAATGCAGGGGTCTCCCAGGCACACTTTCATAATTAAATGTGTCAGCATAACTGAACATTTATCATGCTTACTGGTGGTCATCCATGAGGCTGTGCAGCTTGGAAACTGTCCACAAATGGTAACAAAGCTTTATTTCTCCAGATTTAGTGTTTTCTAGGGGATAACACTAGGGAGTTACCTGAGAAAATCTGAGGAAGAGAAGCCATTAATTAAACTGCCTGTGAATTGGTAGATCAGGCCAATGCACACACTATTCAATGGACTCCATGGAGAACACATTTGTACCCAAGACTGTTCAAATATACTTCAGAAAATAACTGAACACAGGGAAGTGAGAAGTGGAAAGGAGGGGGCCGAGGCTGGGAACTAAAGGCTTGTCTTTCCCCTTTTCTCCCAGGTTGAGAGCCAGGAGGCTCAGAAGAGCCCTCCCACAGCTCCCCAGGGACAGGATAGAGGGGGCACAAGAACGAAAGTGGAGTCGCCATCAGCAGGTTATGCACTAGCAGCCACAGCTTCCGGATTCCTGCCAGGCACTTATCCAGGCTCTGAGAACTCAGGAATGGCAGAGGAAGACCCCATAGGCTGCCCTCTATGGGAGAGACCTTGAGAAGGCGTCCCAGAAGGTGTTTTCTCCTCCTATTGGGCATGGAAGAAAGGTGGTGCAAGAGGAGATGAGAAACAGATTTCCTGTGTGTATGATCTATGTATTTTTGAAAAAGTTTAAAAAGTGTGTTAAAATATACATAAAATTTACCATCTGAACCTTTCTTTTTTTTGAGACAGAGTTTCGCTCTGTTGCCAGGCACCAGGCTGGAAAGCAGTGGTGCAATCTCTGCTCACAGCAACCTCCGTCGCCCAGGTTCAAGCAATTCTCCTGCCTCAGCCTCCCGAGTAGCTGGGACTACAGGCGCACACCACCAGGCCCAGCTAATTTTTGTATTTTTAGTAGAAACAGGGTTTTACCATGTTGGCCAGGATGGTCTCGATCTCTTGACCTCATGATCTGCTGGCCTCGGCCTCCCAAAGTGTTGGCATTACAGGCATGAGCCACCACGCGTGGCCACCATCTGAACCTTTCCAAGTGTCCAGTGACATGAATACATTCACATTGTTGGGCTATCATCACCATCCATTCACAGAACTCATTTTCCAAAACTGAAATCTGTACCTGTTAAACAAGAAGTTCCCACCTGCCTTTCCTCCAGCCCTTGGCAATCTCCATGTCACGTTCCCTTTCTAGGAATTTGACTACTTTACATATCTGATATAAGTGGAATCATGCAATGTTTGTGTTTTTGTGACTGGTTTTTTTACTTGGTATGATAACCTCAAGGTTCATCCATGTTATAGTATGTGTCCGAATTTCCTTCCTTTTCAATATTTCATTGTAATGTACAAATCACATTTTCATCATCCATTCAACCACTGATGGACACTTGAGTTGCTTCTACCTTTTGGCTTTTGAGAATAGTGAATGCATACTCACTTGAGTTGCTTCTACCTTTTGGCTTTTGAGAATAGTGAATGCATACTCACTTGAGTTGCTTCTACCTTTTGGCTTTTGAGAATAGTGAATGCATACTCACTTCAATCAGGAATGACTGTTTCTTGACACTGCATTATGAACACAACGTGAAATGGGAGCACATGGGCATCTAAGTCGCCCTCCCCCTTTCTGTCTTCTTTGTAAGTGGCTCTACAAGTGCAGGAGAAAATGCCACCTAAACAATCCATGCCCAGAAATGGCAAGAGTCCCCTTGGGAGCAACACTCAGGAGGATAAGAACCTGAGTCTAGGATTTGTATTTGGTGACCCCAAATTTACATCCAAGATTTGTTTAGATCCTTAGTTTTTCTCTCCTAGGAGCTACTTTTATTCTTGAGTCCTAAAAATCGCCCCCCCCCCCTTTTTTTGTTCTGGTATATGAAGCAAGAGCTAAAATCTTAAAAATTCTTACAAGGCACTCTCCATCTTAGAAGCTCATAGTCAGGGATTTTTCTCCCCTCCACGGGATTCCCATCCCTTTGCTCCCCTTTCTGTTTCCCAGTGAGAGCTGGGGTGGGGAAGTAGGGGAAAGAAGGCACCACAGTGCTACAGCTGAGAGTGTAGCCTGGGGCAGGGGTGGGACACAGGTCCCCAGCGTTCTGTGGGTTCAGGCATTTCCACATAGAAACAACACGTGGATGATGTAGGGTTCAAATATACGATTGGTAACATGATTATAATACATGATGAGAATAGCAGCAATTAATGTTTGTTACACCTTAGCTTATGCAGTGTCTCATGGATCCTTAACCCTGTGAAGTAGGTATTATAACTAGTTGAGAGAGATGAAAACTAGGCTTTGAGAAGTTAAGTACTCTGCCCAAGATCACACAGTGGAAAAGCAGCATGGGCCGCATTTGAACTTAGGACTGCTGATTCTACAACTTGTACTGTTACTCCTACTATACACACAGCCTCCCGTTTTATGAAATAGGCTGACAGGGTTTTGAATGGGAAAAATTTTCAGGCTTTAAATGGTGAATTTCACAAAGTTTTGAGGCGCAGCTCCTCTACAGACTGGGGACTTACTTAGATACTTACTTTTTTAGGGTCATGTCCTGCCCTGAAAGAGGAGCCCCTTCCACGGGGGAGTTCTTCTTGCCACACACGTTGCCAAAGCTGTCATAGCCGAAGAGGAGTCTTCCTGCAGCTCCAGCCACCACTGAGTAGCCCATGATAAACACCTGGCAGATTGCAGGGCGTATGAGAGCCTGACCGAAGGGCCCTGTGCACAGTGCCCCACCCCCCTGCACATGCTGATGTGAAATGGAGCCTGCTGAGACCTGAAGCTCTCCAGCACAACAGCCCTTCACTGCCGCAGCAGCAGCGTCCACAACTCCAATCTATCAGCATCCTGCTCTTCTGATACTTGTAAGTTTAGGGAGAGAGGATTCTAATCCACTGAAACAGATTCCTCTCCGTTTTAAGACCTCTGTACTTTTTCCTTAAGAGTCTGTCATTTTTCTTTTTGGTCTAACTTCAGTGGGAGGACTCAATTTTTTTTTCCCCCTTGAGGTTCTTACTTTATTTAAGTGCTTCAGGGCTAGGCTAATTCTTTCTCTGAGGTGTTTTTTGTTTGTTTGTTTTTTGTTTACTACTACTTTTTGTTTTTCTTTTCTTACTTTTAGGGGATTCTGCAGAAGCAATACAGTTGATAGGTACTGAAATACTGTTCACAAGTCTGCAAATAGTGCTTTGGAATAACTGCTTAAGACACAAAATAAAGAACCATAGGAATTCTATTGGACAAGAACATCTTGAGAGCTATCATCATTTTTATCCATTTTCATAGTGAATGTGGAGTATTTGAAATTTCAGCCCAAACAACTGTGCCCTTAATACATACTGACAGGCTCACCACCAAGACTGAATATGTATCTTCCCATAATACAAACTTAATAAGTTTCCCAGTATTGTATACAATATATAGGAAGCCATTTAATACTCCATATTGACAAGTTCATTGCAGGAGAGAGAATATAATACACCATTCATTAATATTCAGCATTGACACCTTATGCTACCATCGTACATTGTCCTAAATTCAAATACCTTCCAGATATTTTACACTCATTATTAACTTAGAAATTAAATAACAAACATTCTTCAAGTGCCCAGTGTGTGCCTGAGATGTTGTTACTGGGAGACACAGAATGACCAGAACCTACTCCTTGCCCTCAAGGAACCCAGCCTAGAAGACAAGCAGGACTTTCTGGCTGCAGACCTCCTGGGGAAGGAGGCTCCCTGTCCTTCCCCACTCTCCAAGATCCTCCTAAGTCTAACTGGTCAGATTCTAGAATGAGTAGGTCACAGACTCTGTCACTCACCCTTTACCTAAGGCTGTGGATGTAGGTGTGACTCTGTGTGCCCACGTGCCTTGACATGCTTGTCCCCTGTCCTTTGAGTTGGAATGTAGTAAGGTCTTGACTGTGTTTGAATTTAGGGGGAGGAGAGGGGTCATGTGCTTTTGCCTAGCTCACTAGTGATCTAACAACAAAGTGATGTTTTCCATTTATTATTGTTCTTTCCCTTGGAAAGCCTGTGGTGAAGAATGGAAAGTTTTTCTGGGTGGGGAGAGATGGGAGTAGGATTTGAGTATTCCTGAGTCCCTGCGAATACAACTTTATTATTATTATTATTATTAATTATTTTTATGTTCTGTAGAGATAGGGTCTCAATTGATTGCCCAGGCTGGTCTTGAACTCCTGGCAACAAGGGATCTTCCTGCCTCAGACTTCCAAAAAACTACTACCATAAACCTTTATTGTCCTAATTTCAAACATGCAATTGCGATTCCATATGAGAGGTGATGTAGGAGGTATGTACACTGCTCTGGTGGAGCCACGAAGGTGGTCACCATCAACCGTGTCTGCAAAATCAGGAAAATGGAATCTCGAGAGACACATGGAATCTTTGAGACTTTGTTCCTTATGTTTAATGCAAATATAAACACAGGCTAGTGCTGCATCTGCAGGACCATCCCTGCTTATAATTTCAGCTCCTTCCCCCAAGCCTTTGTCTAGCCCTAACTCAGGGCAGCACCATCAATAGTAATCCTTTTCAGCACATCACCAGTCAGGACATCTGCCACAAGACCTGAAAGCTGAACAACAGAGGCAGAAAAAGAAACAAAATAAAACAAAACACTCCTTGCTTTGTTTTAAATACCTGTGACTAAAAACTGTTGTCTAACATTCTTGTCTACTTTATCCTTTCTGTCTGGTTACAAATTTTTTTAAAACTTCAATAAAAATATGCATCTTAAATGGGGGGAAAAAAAAAGCCAGTGAGCTAAGAAAGGATTCTGATTCTTAAAACAGAATGCTATAGTGAGAACTTGGACATATTAAAATCTTCAGACTTATTTGGCTGTGATAGGTAATCTACAAAGCCTTTTCCCAGGATTCTCAGTTGTGGGGCTGAGAGTTTGGTAGTGAGGTCCTAGGTTGAAGCTGTGGAGGGGCTAAGGCAGATCATTAAATCACAGTAACAGCTTGAGGTCAAAGCTGCCGGGCACAAGGCAGGCCAGCTGCTCCCTACGTTTATACAACAGCAGTCTTAGAGAAAAACACCAGCCATCTGTGAAGTTAAGCAGAAGGTATCCTAGGTGCACTGTCTCTCTGTTCTTAGCGGAGAGTTCCAAGGTAAGCAACAAAGCTCGTCTGATGAAGTGTTTCAGGCCTAACCTTCCACTGTGCCTGGAACCAAGTCTGTCTATGTGAAATGGGTCACAAGTCAACAAATGCCTTTCTTACTTGGAAAGAGGAACAAACATGGTATTTTATGGTCTATTCACATGGAATTCTTTGCAACAAAGGTAATTACGATCTGATAGTTATTATCCTGCTCTATAAATTAATCATTTACCATGCAGCAAACAGCACGCCTCAGCCTGGCATGGATGATTTCATGAAACTGGCCTTTGAAAATGTCAGGTGAGACTTTTTCTGCTGTTACCTACAACTCTAAAATAAGTATACAAGCAGCAAGATTCGACTTCCAACAGACTCTCTCAGGATTAAAACCGCACAGTGTGATGGGGTTTGCCAGCAATCATACATACCTGGAAACTAGTGTAGGAAAAATTCCTTATTAGCTATGGCTAACAGTATTGGCTACTAAACACAACATATCGTGTGTGTGTGTGTGTGTGTGTGTGTGTGTGTGTGTGATGTTCAGCTAAAGGAAATGCAATTTATTTCTAGGCTTACCCTGGCTTTTCCTTTGTTAAAGGTGCACCAACAGCTTGAGGAATATTTGATTTGGGAGTGTGGCAGGTGGTAAAAGAACGGCTTAGTAAATTCGTATAGCAAGAGGAGACACATTGGCCTTACTAAATAAGGATCGCATTGTAAACTGTTAATTCCCATTTCCTAATGGAGTCACCTCTTAGAACATGGCCTGGAGCAAAAAGACAGTTTTTCTAGCAAGTCTAGGATAAGAATTCTCCCGACTACTAACTGGTGTTTGTTGTGGGTTAATGGCAGCAGTCTCTCACTGCAGCAACTACGATTTACATTTGGGACAGAGTTATTTCCAGACACGCACACACACACTGGCCTCCTTCCTTGCCAAGCACCCACACTTACCGAACCAGTCCAAAAGAGAAAGAACAGGAACAACCATGCCGTATCTGTGCGTTTCCTGTAAATCTGGGGTCGCCACTCCCTACGGGCTCCTTCTGCAGAAACCTTCCAGAAAAAGGGACAGTTGCGAAAAAAGATAAACAAGTGGACTCAACCTGGAAACTGAACCCAAATCTACTCGAAGAGTGCTCAAAGTAACCAATCTTTCTCTATTTTTAAAATTAGGTTTTTGTTGTTTTTTTGTTTTTTTTCTTCCCCGTGACCACCTGAAGCTCTTTCACGTGAAACACCTGCTGTGTGCGGGGCGGATGTTAAGCCCCCAGCCGCCAAGTGCTCACCTGGAGGTGCACCTGAGGGTGGCCCCAAGTTCGTGCCTCGCGGCCCGGGTCTTCCCGGCCTCCGCTCGGGCACCGGAGCAGGGTCCAGGGTCCTCCCCGCCAGATGGCCCCAGAGTACTAGGCGGGGGCGGGATTCTAGAGACGCGGGAAAGGCGGAAGAGTCCCAGAGGGGCAGGTGCGTGCAGGAGGGGGACCCGACCCTTTCCCGGGACTCTTCCCCCGAGGGCCGAGGCTGCGGGCGCTTACCAGGTACTCGGCCCCGGAGCAGGGCATCGCGCGCTCGCCGGCGGGGGCGGTGACTGGGAGCCGCCGCCGTCCCGCGTACGAGGAGACGCAGCGCCCGCGAGCCGGGGCCGGAGCCGGGGCCGGGGAGGGGCGAGCAGAGCGCAGCGCCGCCTCCCGTTCGCCTCTGCACCTGGCCCGGCGGCCGCGGGCGCCGATGTCCACTGGGTCAGCCTCTCCCCTGCATGGGGTCCTGCCCTGGTGGGAGGAAGAGGCTCAGACCCTTCCCTGTCATCTCGCCTCTACCGCCTCGCGGCCGCGGCTCCCAAGATGTGCACCTCGAAGACTGAAGATGAGCCGGCGCCGCCGCGACCTGGGGCAGGTGGTCGGCCTCTGCCGTAGGCTAGAAGTCGAAAGTCTCAGCAGATCCCTTCTGAGGGCCGAGCGACAGTGTAGTGGTGTATTCTACATAGCAAACAGGTGAGCAGCATTTACTGTGTGCCGGGCGGATTCTGTTCTGTCATTGTCATTCCTAATCTACGGAGGAGGGAAACTGAGGCACGGCCAGCGATGATGCAGCTTGTTCGAGGAGAGAGTAAGCTGCGGAAGCAGGAGTCGAACCCACACACTCCAGGAGATCGGCGCTCTCGAGGTGGTTTACTCTGACTTCTCTCCCACTTTGTCTTAGGACAATCATTCCCTGACTTCGCAGTTGAAACGGTAGCGTCCACTGAAGCGACTGCTGGGGCAGTTTACCAGGTAATATCGGACCAGCAAGCACAAAAGCTCTGGGGGTGAGGAATTTAAAAAACAAAAAAAAACCTGCCGACCCACCTCTCCCCACCTCCTCCCAATCCAGCCTCTACCCTTCCCCCTGCCACTCTCAGGGCTGCTAGGTTAATTGCTTCCTTTAGGTGCTGCTTCTACCTAAGGGTAGAAACCTGACTGCAGGGAAGATCTGGCAAAGTGGCAGAAACTGGGAGTGATAGACAGTGGTTCTCTGGTGCACGTGACTTCCTTCTGGGCTAACACCACCCTCCCACTCCAAACTCACTGGGCCTTCCTGGATGCATGTTTATCAGACAGAGTAGGTGAAACTCCAGGTGGTCTAGATCTAGAGCCCATACTTAGAACTGTACTTAAAGATTTCATGCTGCCTCCCAAATAGAGCAGGAATTACAATAAATGTAAGTGGGTTACACTTACCAATTACAAAAAGAACAGCCTTTCAAAGTGAATGAAAACAAGGGATTCAGCAATATGTTTTCTACAAGAAACTTGTTTAAAACAAATAGACGCTGAAAGGTTAAAACTAAAAAGATATAGCACAAACATGAACCACAGAAAGCTCAGGTAGTAATTTTAAAACCTGACACAAGTTAAGATAAAAAGTTCATCAGGGAACTCATAAATGTGCCTAACAATGCATCTTTAATATTTATTAAGCAGCAGCTAACAGAAGTTTAGGCAGAAACAGATAAATCAAAATTATAGTTGGAGATTTTTAACTAGCCAATAGATCAAGTAGACAGTAGATACTTCCTCTCCTCTCCCAACACACATACACACAGAAAACAAATATAGAAGGTCTGGACAATATAATTAATAAACTCGAGCCATTAGATATTTACAACTCATAGACATTTCCATCAAACAGTGAATACGTGTTCTTTCTCTTTTCAGGTACATGTGAAACATTAAAGCAAAAACATAAACTGTGTATTAGATCTTAAAGGAAGGCTCAATAAATTTCGCAGTACAATAAAATTAGAAGTAATGAATAAAAATATGTGTGGTGGATAGATTTTAAGGTCCGTATGATTTCTGCCTGCTGGTGTTTACACCCTTATGTAGTTCCCTTCTTTGGAAGTAGGTAGTACCTGTACCTTTTAACCAATTATGATGGTTGATTTTATGTATCCTTTTGAATAGGTCAGTCACAGGGTATCCAGATATGTGGTCAAACATTATTCTGGGTGTTTCTGTGAGGCTGTTTTTGGATGAGATTAGCATTTAAATTGGTGGATTGAGTAAAGTGGTTTTCCCTCCCTAATGTGTGTGGGCCTCATCCGATCAGTTGAAGGCCTGAATAGAACAAAAGGCTAACTCCACTCCCCTAGTAGGCGGATTATCCTGCCTGATGGCCTTAGAGCTGGGATATTGGCTCTCGGTGTACAGCATCCTACTGGCCTTTGGACTTGGACTTTTCCTGGGTTCTATAGCAGCTTCCAGCCTTTGGACTTAAATTGGAATATTGGTTTTGCAGGTTTTGGACTTGCCAGCCTCCATAATCCCATGAGTCAATTCATTATAATAAATCTCTTTATAATATCTATCTATCTATTATCCATCTGTCCATCCTATTGGCTCTGCTTCTCTAGAGATCCCTAATACACCAAAAGAATACAGTGAATGTGATGGAAAGTCATTTCCATGATTACATGACATTAAGAAAGAAAGAGAACCCAGTTAGATTGTGCCCAGACTCCTGACCAACAGAAACTACAAGATAATAAATGTGTGTTGTTTTAAGTCACTGCATTCCTGGTAATTTTTCATGTACAATAAATAATACAGCAGATATATTTGTTCATTCTTGCACTACTATAGAGAAATACCTGAGACTGGGTAATTTATAAAGAAAAGAGTTTTAATTGGCTCACGGTTCTGCAGACTATACAGGAAGCTTTGTGGCTTCTGTTTCTGGGGAGGCCTCAGGAAACTTACAATCATGGTGGACAGTGAAGGGGAAGCAGGCATGTCTTACATGGCTGGAGCAGGAGAGAGAGAGATGGGGAGGCACTACACATTTTAAATGACCAGATCCCACAATAACTCGCTATCATGAGAACAGCACTGAGGGGATGGTTCTAACCCATTCTTGAGAACTCAGCCCCTATGATCCAATCACCTCCCGCCAAGCCCAACCTTCAATACTGGGGATTACAATTTGACGTGAAATTTGTGTGGAGACAGACCCAAACCATATCAGCAAAAAACAAAACCCCACAAGCAGAAACCAAAAAATACCCCAAACCTCATTTGGAAACCAAGTAACATCTTACCAGACAACGTCCTTGAGTCATAAAGGAAATTAAGAAATATTTGAAATTGAATATTCATAAAAATTCTACATGTCAAATTGGGACACAACTTAAATGCCAGTTAGATGGAAATGTATGGTTATATTTATCAGGAAACAAAAGGTTATAAAGAAAGTAGCTAAGCATTCAACATAAGAAGCAACCGCATACGCAGTGAAACAAGAAGAAAGGCAATAATAAAGATATGGGCAGAAGTCAGTGACACAGAAAAGTGGAGAAGATGAATAAAACAGAAGTCAGTCCCATGGAAAAGATCAAGAAGACCAAACTGGCAAGACTGTTCAGGAGAAAAGAGGAAAGACGCAAATAAAATAAGACAGAATGATGGAGGAAATAACAAAAGATCTTAAAACATTTAAAAAGTGTTATGAACCCTAATATATGTAAACCTAGATAAAATGGATATGTTCCTAAAAATATAAAATGCAGTAATTGCTATAAGAAGAAATAGAGAATTTGAATAAACCACGAAGTGTTAAGTAAATTGAAATGGCAGCCAAATATCTCTCCTAAACTCTCCTCACCCCAGCTCAGATCTAGAGGCTTTTTCTATATTATAGATATTAACTTTTAAGAAACAGTTAATTTCTATAATATACAAGTTGCACCAAAAATAGAAATAGAGCAAAAGTTGCTCAGGTCATTTTATGAGGCCAGCATCAAACTGATACCAAAATGAAATAAAGATTGTACAGGAGAAAAAGAAAAGGAAGAAAGAACGATTACACTTGTAACCTAAGATGTCATTTCAAATAACTTTATTGTTTGCTTTAAAAAATCCAGTTTTAGGAATTTCCAAAAGATCTATTTATTAGAGAATAGGCTAACAACTGGATAATAGCTGTCAGCAGGACAATACATAGATCGCTCAACCGGGTTACCACACGACTGTGCCCTTCAAAATTCACTTCAACTCCCTACCCCTCATTGTGCCCATCAATTCTCAACTTACTATATAACAAACTGGCCAATTAAATCAGCCTCCATGAATTGAAAAACCCCTCTTATGCCAGACCCTAAAACCCTTATAAATATTCCATCCTTGAAATACATTGAATATGTTTATATTCATAAATTCTCAATAATACTAAATGAAAATAAATCGTTATTGATTGCCTCTAGAAAATTCTAGGGGCCAACTCATTTAAAAAACTCAAAGGAAAAACCAAACACATATTCTACCTCTCCTATATGAACAGGGTAATCAAATAATTGATGAGGGAAGTTTCTCTTGATAGACATATTGTGTCCCATAGATGAGGATGAGGATATCACAGTTTTCCAAATATCATAAAAGAGGGACAAGCAGCCGTCAACCTCCTCCCAGGGAAGAACACATCGCCACCTGTGAAATTGTCATGCTAGAAAAATCCAGTGGAATCTGACTACCAACTTAACAACAAATATAGGAACAAATCAAATGACATCTTAGGGATGCCACCAGCAAAATTGAGAATGTGAAACTTGGCTGGGCATGGTGGCTCACGCCTGTAATCCTAGCACTTTGGGAGGCCGACGCGGGTGGATCACAAGGTCAGGAGTTTGAGACCAGCCTGACCAATATGGCAAAATCCCACCTCTACTAAAAATGCAAAAATTAGCCGGGTGTGGTGGCACGTGCCTGTAGTCCCTGCTACTCAGGAGGCTGAGGCAGGAGAATTGATTGCAGGAGAACCCGTGGCAACCTCTGTCTCCCGGGTTCAAGCAACTCTCCTGCCTCTGTTTCCTGAGTAGCTGGGACTGCAGAAGCCCGCCACCATGCCTGGCTTATTTTGTATTTTTAGTAGAGACACGTTATCACCATGTTGGCCAGGCTGGTCTTGAACTCCTGACCTTGTGATCCACCCACCTTGGCCTTCCAAGGTGCTGGGATTACAGGCATGAGCCACCGCACTCAGCCTACATTTACATTTTGATTACCAAGATACTACCTATTTTTGTTTTTGGCCAAATATCTGAAATAAATATCAGCATTTTTAATAGATACAAGTTTAAGCTTCTAAAAGGCAGGTTGAATTTTATTTCCTAAAATTTGTTTGCATTTGGTAACCTGCCTATTTGGAGTACATGTGTAGTGCTGTAAAAACAGGAAAACCACTAACCCCCAGAACAAATGTACAAAATTTGATGCACTTTGAATTTAAATGTAGATCTTTTGAGGGGGAAGTTTACCTATTCATCCTGAATCTTACCAGTCCAACTGTTAGCAACCATGGATTCTTGGGCTTTTAATGCAATAGCAATTGAGCTGAGGCCAAGAGAGTTTTCACAAACATGGCTTGGGGAGGTGGAGGGGGAGAGAGGAAGAAATGCTGAGGAGGGGGGAGGGAAGGAGTGAGAGTGAGAGAGAGAGAGCGAGGAGGGGGGGAGAGAGAG